CATAGCCAAAAATGTACATTTTCTAATTTCTTTGCTCCTCCTATTTCGAATTTCTTTGACGCCTCACTTAGAATCAACAAGTTATGAGCGTTATCAACAACTACCTTGACATATTGTAAATCCGAGAACTTTTGTCTCTTCCAACATTAGCGATGCTAATCTGAAATTGAAAATAGAACGCTGAGACTAAGCTTTGCACTAAGAAATACATTTAATTGGTTGCGTAATAAATATAATATTCTGTCCCTCTTCAACCCGCTTCCTATGCTTCACTGAAATAAATATTCAAATTCAGAATGTTATCTTCTAAAACTTTATTTATCAAACAGATAAGTTCCAGTTTCTTTCCAAGAGTTCTACGATCCTTTGAGGTTCTTAAAAGGGATGTGCTAGTATTTTCAAGACAAAAACCTACTCCTGGTAGTGGTCTCTAAGGCATCACGTAACTTGTAAGTTCTACGAATTTCTAAAATAATAGAAATTTCAAAGGATATACTTTTAAAAATTGGTGAATTACAAAGTAGGCTATTGGAAAATGGATGAGATACTCTTACCAAAATTCTAGCCAACATTCACAGAAATGCAAAGATTTTTATGATTTTTATGCATAATCATTCCCAACCCTTACAGTACAGTCACGCCTTCTTATCGCAGTGCTTTGCTCATACCTATCATAGCTTGAGCTGTTCACAAAGTATTGCCAAAGGCTAAACGCTAGGTTCAAAGCGAAATTTCTTTGGGCGCAAGTTTTTAGTCCCGGAATTGCTCTTATGGTGAGCAAATAACTCCCTAATGAAAAGTTTCGTTTTGCGAAGTTTGTTCAAAACTTCCACAATCTCTAAACTATACTGCGTAATTTACAAGACTGTGGCAGGGTCTCTGGCGCTGTCTCGCCCCTTTAATGTTGCGACCACTGGCTTGGCATGTTGCCTATTGTGTGCACTGTCTACCACCCTCCCCTAGTTCTCAACACACTCGATAGGTTGGGCCGCAGAGGTCACTCTATGAGGCGTCCTCACTCCTTTATAATTATCGTCGAGCTATATGTGCCTTTTTTGCCTTCATTTTTTATAACTCTAAATGGTTAATTGCAAAAAAACATGACAGACTAAATGTGCATATTCTGTGCAACCAACTATCTGCTTTCGCTTTAGTTTTTTAAAAATTCAAGAAACCGCTTTGGCCTTTTTACTCCTTTAACAGAAAAAATTGCAATTTTATCGTCGTACTGTCAGGTTCCACTGCTTCTCATTCACCGGAACACTAATTCACAAACCCATCACTCAACGGAGGACGCAAACACTTCATTGCAAGACAATGGTGAGTGAAGAGGAAGCACTTTATAATTTCAATAATGTAGATCTTGATTAGCATAAAATACGTACTAAAGATCTGCAGTCAAGTTTTCTGGAGAATTTGTTATCACTAGCATTCTTTCCCAAGCAAACCATTCGCTAGAATCTGACCTCGCAGGCTTGAGGTCATTTGGACGCTTGCCAGTTACTTTCTCCACACATCCTACGCACTCTCTCTGTATTGGACATCGTCCGCGTGTCTGCTACCTAGCGCTCATCCGCGACGTCTTCTCATCTGCACTCTTTTTCTCTACAGCTCTCTTACACAGACGCCGTCTCTCTTGCAATCGCCTTTTGAACGCTGTTCGAAGATCTCTATTCAAGGTTTTTTTTTTTTCAAAAAATGCGATTCATGCATCATATAGCTATCACTTTTCATTCTATATAGCTTTGAAAAAATATATGATAGTATAAATATTTATTGTAAAATTATTCCGATTTAGAAACAAGACTTCAATTTGCGGTGATTTAAATGAACTAAACCTTCATAACAATCAGATTTTTGTCAGCAAGAAATGGCAATCCTTCTTAGCAATGTGTTCCATGATTGCATATTTTTTTCTCCACTCTATTCAGTAGCTAATTAAATTGGGCATTGATTTCCGTGATCAAGGGTTGTTCCATTCATACCCCATAGCTTTTGCTTTAGGCCAGATCAGTATCTCGAACCCGTAAGACATCGAAATCACCGGCTCGCCGTAAGATGTCAACGCCGAAGTCTGAACCGAAACAAAAAAAGGCAACAACGAAAGCGCCTTCGCGTTCCAGGTCTGCAAGTAGAGGTAGAAAGCAGAGTAAGAAAGAAAAACAGGATATGCCGTCAAAGAGCACTAGCAGATCGCATTCTCGCGGACGTCAGATTAAGGTTAGTTTTTTTTTCTTCAATTAATCGTATAACAGCATCCTTTTAGGTCCTAAAGCGCCTATCTAAATCGCCAGCAAAAAGGAGAATGCTTTCACCTGCG